GACCGTGTCAATCTCGTCCAGCGAACTCTTCATTAAGAACTTCTTCACTCCCCGCTTTCGTGACGAAAGGATAACCTCCTCTTCATCGACCCACTGCCCGTCCTTCTTCGCCATCACGTAATCCGTGTCAGTCTTCTTTGATGTAGACCCTCTCGCCGACTTGGTGGCTGCCACCCTTATGGGTGTGGTCGCCATATCCCCCTCAAAGGTTATCTTGATGCTCTGGCTCCTGACCGACTCCTTTTCTTTACTCGGCTTTACTCTCCTTGCTTCGACATTTTCCTTCATCGAAGGGAACATTGATACATCTCCCAGATCATCTGCCCACTTGACGTACTTGCGGTCGTCAAGCATGACAAGTCCCTCATCTATTGCCCGTTTGAGGTCCGGACAATCCCTCTTGATATGATCTTCTCCTCTACAGTAGACGCATGAGTTCCTCGGAGTAGATGGTCTTTCGTCTGCGCTTCTAGAGATCGAACTTCTGGCTGCCTTGGGGTCAGGCGACTTGGGATATGGCTCTGATGAGACATCATATCCCCCTCTCTCATTCCGACCGCGCGAATCGTTGCGGCGGTCTCCTCCAGACCCTCCTTGCTCATACCGCCCTCGCGAATCATTCCGGCGGTCCCCCGAATCATATCGCCCTCGTGACTCATCGCGTCGGTCCCCTCGGTTGTACCACCCCCACGACTCGTCGCGCTGCTCTCTTGCATCTCCCCCGCGCTTAAACCGTCCGCGCGACTCATCTCGTCGTTCCCAGTCCCGATCTCCTCTTTCATACCTACCACCTCTGTAGCCATCTCGATCCGACCTCTCGTATCTGTCGTCCCTATATCCGTATTGGTCCGATCTCTCGTATCTGTTGTTCCTATATCCGTCTCGGTCCGATCTCTCGTATCTGTCGTCCCTATAATCGTCTCGGTCTGATCTCTCGTATCTGTCGACCCTGTATCCATCTCGTCGGCCCTGATCTGTCTCCCATCGGCCGCGGGAGTCGCCTCTACCCCGATCGGCCTCATAGCAAGGGCTTTGCGGGTAATCATCCAGCCTCCTTGCTCGCGCAAACTGCTCGCGATCTCTGCGGTCTCGGTCTATCTCATCATCCCTACGTCGTCACGGCTCATCGTCTCTCTCTCTTTCCTTCGTACGATAATCAGTCAGCGTCCGAGGATTTCGATCCTCGACACTCCTCCAGGAATCGTTGTTCCTACGGTCCCAGCGAAGTGAATAGGGCCCTCCAGGTTTGTCCCGGTAGGCCGTGGCCCATGTAGTGGTCACAATCTCTGTAACCTGTTTCGTCCATCCCTTCACCATGTCCCATATCTCCTTCACTTCCTCAGCCACGGCCTCATTCTTCTCCGACCAGGGATAGTCCTTGAAATCAGGACATCTATCCGTGGCATACTCCTTTTAGAGAGAGAAGTCACGTCTCCTCATCCCTCTTCACACCAAGTCCTTGTAATCGTCTGCCTCTGCCTTTATCGCGAGCTTTAGGACTTCTGGGAAATCAAGYCTGTCGCGCGGAAGATCTCTAAGTATACTCTTTTGCCTACCTTTGGACRAGTGYYCGATGAAGATAGTACARCGCTCRACCTCTGAGATCTTCCCCTTCTTCATCAGCACRTCGGAGATCTTCTGGAAACGCATCYCAAATGCCCGTACGCTCTCATCTTCATCTTGAGTCATTGTTTCAAGGTCCTTGATGGAATACTTGTTGTCCTCCAATTTGTAAAGCTCAATGAGGTTCTTCTTGTACGTAGTCCATTTCCCATCCTTCGGTCGAGCTTCCTTAACTTCCCTACCGAGACTTGGGTCCACATTAAATAGGAAGTTCTCTATAATCTCTTCCTCCGACCACTGACTCCGGCTGGCGTGAAGCTCCCACTTCTCCAGATATTATGTGATACCATAGCCCTTGAAGGTAGGAGGCTCTGAGGCCTTGTGCGTAATAATATAGCGATCCTTGCCCTCGTAAGGGAGCGGATGTGACTCCCCTGTCTGGGGGTCGAAGACTCGCCTGGGCGGCGCCCTGTCTCTATCTCTGTCCCTCCAATAGGAATCCCTCAAACTCTCTCTCCAGTCGTCTCTGTGCCTGTCCGCTATGGTGTCCCTCCGCTCATACTCGGGGGAGCGTCGCCTCATCGCTTCTCGTCTATCGCTCGAGGTACCCGTCTTTAGAGTCTCCTGCGGCTTTCTCGCAACTGGTTCGCCCCTTACGCCGGGCCCTCCATCATTGGTTTGGTCAGCCGATCTCAGCGGTGCTTCTCGCCTAATTCGTTCCTTCAGATCCCTCAGAGCTCGATCGGGCGATGTCCTCTACTCCTCTCCCGCTTCGTCCGTGGTCGGTTGTGGCCCCATCGTGTCGAGTTCCATTAGACCGCCAGAAGACGCAGTTAGGTATTCTAGCCAACTGTTACAGCCCGACCCTATGACAGTCGCTGCATCTCGGACCTGTGACAGTTGCGGCAGCCCGGACCTGTTTCCTTGTCACGGCTCGCGTCCGCCTCCAATCTTAGCTCTCGGCAGCCTTGATTACCACTTCCAGTATCCCGTACCGGTCGCGGATCTCGTGCTCTCCCTCTATCCCAAGAATCCCTGTGTTTAAGTAAACCTCTCCTTTGAGATCGGCCAACAAGGCCGTGCCTCTCCGGATCTGCAGTACACTGGTGACATGAACTCTATCCTTGAGACAGATCGCAGTCCCAAACCTAGCCAATGTCTCCTGATCAACACCCCTCAAGAGTCTCCGAGCGTCTATCTTCGTCCGCCTTGCTAGTTCTCCTAGCCCTGTCCTGAATCGGTTAGCCCGCTAAAGGCCCTCCTACTGCCATCCAAAGTCGCCCATCGACCTTTCTAGCTTCCACTATCCTTCCAAGAGCTTCCAATTTCTATTTCCACTCACTTATCTCCCAGACGGCTACGAGGTCATCTGTCTAGCAACTGAGGTAAGTTAGTGCTATAACCACTTGTAACCTCATTGCCGACCGCTCCAATATGTCATAAAATGTCTCAAAGTCCTCCTTATCTCCACCATCTTCTATCGCCTCTAAAGTCTTTATCGAYTCCTTCCAGTACCGGTCGTGAGCGGCTAACACCCTGAGTATTGCACCATCTGTTATAACTCTCCCTAACTCTCCATCTTTCCTGGCTTCGCTTATCTTCAACCTCTCAACCTCTCTGGTCGTCTCGTACCATGCCCTTATCCGAGACCGCCCTTCAAAAGGTGTCACTTGGAGTACGTATTTTATCCTCCGTCCTCCGTCTATTCCAATCCAAAGTTCTGTTTCCCTAGCCTCACGCAGCGCACGGCGGACACACTCTGCCTCCTCAACTATGCACAGTCTGCTATGGAGCTGGAGTTCTATGATCACTAACACTAATGGTCCGTGCAGTCTCCCTACCATATATAATGAGTACCGATCCGTCGCGTGTAGTGTAGTCCCGCTCATGTCCTGTTGCTACTTCCCTGCGTTACTTTGTCTTTCGTTGTCTCGCTCTCTACAGATCGCTCACTAGTTTCTTCGCGTGATACGCTTCTAGCCTTTACCCTCTCCAGAAAGTCTGATCTCCACGCCTGGATAATCTCTCTTTCCTCCCTAAACAGATTCTCTAACTCTCTCGTCACGAGTTCAGCCCTACGCAACTTGTCTTCGTCCTGATACGACCAGATCTCCCTTAACTTGTTCCCCAACTTCTTCACCTGGTTCAAGAGTGGTTCTTTAACACGCTTTCTCACTCTTCCGACTGCCTTACTCTCCTCTTCCATACTGAGTCCACATCTTTTTCCAGCTCATCCTCTCACCCTCGCTCTAGCCTCCGCTACCGTCTCATCGTGGTAGTGCTCCGCGCGCATAWAACCATGAGACCATATCATCACATCATAGGAAATCGAGGTCTGGAAGGTCACTCGCGCCAGTACATCAGCTCTACGCTCGTGGATCAAATCCCTGGCTCGTTGTCTGCACTCCCTCGCTGTCAAGTCCTCGTCTACGTACGCTCGGAGAAGTACTGTCACAGTGTATCTTGCGCTTACCAGTTGCTCTCCTACACGCATCACCGTGGCCGTCCTTCCCGGCATTCCCTAGGCTGCGGCCTCGAAGAGAAACCTCACATCCTCTAGCCCCGCGTAATCGATCTCTGCCCGTCTCCTGCAGTACCTAATCAGATCGATTGGCCTCAGACAGTCCTTCCAGCTAGTAACGTCTGTGATGTCGTCAAGCGTCTCTCTACTGGGCGGCCCCTACCTCACACAAATGGCGTAGTATACTTCCTTGAAGCGGGGCGCTAAGACCTCCTAGAGCGCGTAAAGTGTGTGGTCCACTGCTCTACTCAAACGATCCACGCTCCCGTAGGTCTGCCCTACCACGAAAGCAGGAAGTCTGAACCGCCAATCTTCTCTCTAGTAGAGGGTCGGGTGCGGAGGACCGTATACCAAGCGGCTCCAACGCGTCCTCCCTCCAGAGAGTCTCGCTAGTTGCTAATTAACGATCACTCAGGCCAACGACTCGCTCCTTCACCAACTCCTGCTTGCCCCTGCGAGCGTCAGACCTATCTCTTAGTCGTGTGCTCTATCCGCTAGCAGATGTCCAACCCCTTCTAGTTCATGAGTCCTCTCGGGTTGTTCGTCTCGTAATATCAACTAGTCCCTGTTGTCGCGAGGCCCACTCCTTGCCCCGGCCGGTGCTCTCAGTACGTCCAAAGCCACACGTCCTCGGACAAGATTATGGAACTCCACGTAAACTGGCCGTCAACGTGTCGAATGTTGCGCCCGGGGATCGTGAGCTCCACCAGATCCCTCTCTATGAGTTCAGGGTGCTCCAAGTCTCAGTCGATGGTAGCCCCATAGACCTCTACTTGCACCCGTGGCCACATTCAACTGGCGGCTAGAGAGAACGCAGCAAGAGGGAGGTGTAGATTAATAACTGAAAATTCTCGTCGCTTGCCTCACGCCTTCGGGAAAAAGCTAGTAGGTTCACCCAAAACCAAGTTACCGCAGCGTCTCTTTCCCTTCTTCTTCTGGGGAATTCTTTTGTATTTTTCAATTATAAATTAAAAAAAATGTATTTAGTTATGATAAAATTTCTTTCTTAGTTTATATACATTAAGGATCAATACATATATAAGCCCGACGAGTTTGTTGATTTTTAAGCGTAGAAATAAAATTATGGGAATTTGCTAAAATTTCGGCAGCGTTTCGCCTTCCCCCATTGGGATGGGGTTCAGGCGAAGCCCTCATACAGCGCTGCCAAAGAGGGAAAATAAAAAAGAATAATAATAAAAAAAAAGGAAAATTGATTTAACTCGATTTTTAAATATTTTTGTTAATTAATTAGCAAAACTTTTAATTAAAAGGAAAATTTCAAGAAATTTCGACAGCAGTTTTCCTTCCCCCCCGGTGAGATGGGGTTCGGAAAAAAGTCCCTCAAATAGGTAAAGTAGATATGAAGAGCATTGAAGTCAAACAAATGCCCCTACGCATTTTTTTAATATTTATTCCAATTTTTTTATCGATTTTAAATAACAAAATCAAAAGTAAAATAATTCTTAATTATTTAATGGGGCAAAACTTCGCGAATTAATTTCCACAATCTTACGGGATATATTTGACAAAAAATAATCCGTAACAAATGCGGAAGCTAGAAGCTATGTTTTCCCTCTATCTACCCGCTTCTCTCAAAATTGGGGTTAGGAATTCACCCTAATCAGGGTTTCCCCTAATTAGGGTTTTGGGTTTCGCGCGCAACCGCACGAACACCGCAAAACCCTGCTCGACGATAGAAATTTTTTTTTAGCTTTCACTAGTTTTAGAAGAAAAACTTATATGATTACATTTTTAAATTTCTTTTTCTTTTAATTTAAACAAAATTACAAAGAAATTCAATTTCCCGTTGATTTTCTTCCGCCTTTTCTATCTGTTGGAGCTCGTCGTTTGTCCAAACGAAGTCCGTTTTCCCCGACTAGGGTCTCAAAATGTCGGGAAAAATATAGAAACCAACTTTGATACCTGCGGGGTTCCCCTAATTTCGCTTATTTTCCCGACCATTTCGATAAAACGAAAATCAAAATTTTTAAAATTTTTAATAAAAAAATACAAAAAAAATTATATCTCGCTTTTTAGCCGTTCGAATTTCTCAAAAAATGTCTCAAAACGTTCGCCTCGACGAGAGGACGAACTTTGCTTCCAGTGCGCCTCGCACGAAAGCGCGCGGATCAGGAGATATCAAGGAAAAACTAATTAGAATTTTTAACTCATGATTTTTGGGATTTTTAATTAGAAAAATACAAAAAATTCCATATCTTTTTTTCTAGCCGTTAGAATTTTCCAAAAAACGTCTCAAAACGTTCGCCTCGACGAGAGGGCAAACTTTTCTCCCCGCGCGGCTCGCACAAAAGCTCGCGGATCGGGAGATATTTAAAAAAAACTAAATAAAATGATTAAAAAAAATATAACTAATCAAGAAAACAAGCTAATTAGTGTTTGACTAATCAGCCCGTGCACCCCCGTTGGTTGGGGAAGGCCGCGGCCTTGGGGGTGCTGCTCCCCTCCCCGGCAACGGCGCCAAAGTTGTGAGGAAAACCGGGGAGGGGACCCTATTCGTCGCTGAAGCCAAGGGCAACAGCGTCTGTCTCCCGCAGCGCCCGCTTCGGAGGTCCTCAGCGGTGGAACAGGGATCAGTGGGCGACATGCCTATCTCGCCCCTTTCGCAAGGCTTGGCTTGATACTCTTCGTCACGTGCATAAATAGTATAAGGCAGGAACAAAAATGAGATAACTGGGACTAGCCTGCAGATTAGAGATGAGGACGGAAATCCCTCTGTCGGGGCTCCTCCTACAGGTTCTTTGCAGGGGTATAAAAGTAATTTGCCCCTCACGAAAGGGACAGATAGTCTTCTTGAATTTTGAGGGGTATTTCCGCAAATATCCAAAACCAGGAAACTTGAAAAGCAAACATACAAGGCAGCTCAATCAGAACAAGCGCGAAGGTTGACCAGTACCCTCTGAGTGATCTTGCAATTTTACTCAGAAAGTGCCCTCATTGCTCAAATTCAGAACCCCTTGGGTATATGCGACTATTATCTAAAAAAGAGCGTCGTATGTTTAAACAGATGCAATCTTCGACATAAATGAATCTTATCTCGAGCTATCCCCCCCCAAACCCGAGGCTGACCGCGTGCTGAAGGATTGAACTCCACTGTAAAGCTGCTCGTTTGTTTTCTGGCTCAATCTCTGAAGCGCCTGACCGAGATCAAAACAAGCCAAGCACCTCAGGAATGAAGAAAGGAAGACCTTGGCTCATTCACACAATCAGAGAAAAGAAAAAAACAAGATTAATAATATACTCATATATTTATTTAATAAAATAAATTGTCTGCAATTAAGCGAAAAACTGACCGTTTCCACCAACAACGGGAATTGCTTGATGGGCTGGTCCGTGGAACCGTCCGCACCTCCCAGGAGTGGGAGTACTTGATTGACCGACCAGCAAACCAGACGTCCTCCCCAACAGCGGCTTTCTTTGATTGGTTGTGACGTGAAAGTGGCTGCTACTTTTAGACTGCCCCACGGGAAGCTGGCTGTTCCCGCCTACAGCGGATAGCTTAACTGGCGAAATTGATTGTTCCCGTCTGCAGCGGAAACACCTGATTGGACTGTTCCACCGAAAGCTGGCTGTTTCTACCTGCAGAGGATCACTTAACTGGCGAAATTGACTGTTCCCGTCTGCAGCGGAAACACCTGTTTGAACTGTCCCACCGAAAACTGGTCGTCCCCGCCTGCAGCAGGAACGCTTGATTGGACTGAACCGCCAAAACTGGTTGTTTCACCTTGTATATACCACCCGCACTCTCCCCCCTTTTCCTGCGAGTGTGCTCCCTTTGCTCTCACTTGTTCACATCTTCTAACTACTACTCCCTCTCTCTGCATCTTCCCCCCCCTTCTCTCTCGCTGTCCACACCCCGTGAGTGTGAGGGCGTATAAAGAGGAGGAATATGAGGGCGCAGATCTGTTAACCCTCAAGATCTGGGTGTACTCACACTCCCCGAGGCGAAATAAGGCTCGAGTCCAGAGGGGAAGTGACTCACAGTTGCACATCAGTGGATCGGTCAGATCAGCCCGCGGAAATCGGGATGTATTCGCTCTACTTATGAGGGCAGATTTATGCTCACAATTGCACTTTAATGGGACGGGCAGATCAAGCCCAAAAATCAGGATGTATTTGCCCACTTATAAGTGAAGATTTATGCTCTCTTTTTTACACTAATGGAACAACAGATCAAACCCCTGTAATCAGATTGTACTTGCCTCACTTGTAGACACGTAGATTAATACTCTCCCTTTTTAAAAAGAATGTGTTCGCCCCGCATGTAGGAGCAGATTAATACTCTCCTTTTTGCACTAAGGAAACGGACAGATTTAGCCCCTATAATCAGAATGTATTCGCCCCGCATGTAGGGGCTGATTAATACTCACCTTTTTGCACAGATGGAACGGGCAGACTTAGCCCCTGTAATCAGAATGTATTCCCTCCG